TGATCTGAGGCAGAGGTTGACAAACATAGAACTCAAAGGTAAGACAAAGAAGAAAAAAAACCTCACATCACATACATTTTATATTTCAGTATAAAAAATAATCTGTCGTAATTAACAATGTGAAGTATAAAAAAAACATGGGACAGGAATCTATACAAACATTAAAGAAATAATTAAAATACCATCAAATGCCACCGACACATAGTCTCAACAAAAAACAGAATGTTTTACATTTAAGTAGTTTAGTTTAGTTGCTGGGATCTTGTGTGTTAGACATTCACTTTATTTTCTCTCTTCAGAGATGTACTCTGTGGATGAACATCGACCTGCACAGTCCGAGGGAGTGAGTCTGACTTTACACATCACAGCTTTCATTCAATAGATGCAAGTTGTTAACCATATCCATCTTGAACTTAACAATGATGATCTAAACTAAACCATTTTTAAGGTTGATCTCTTCTGTCAAAATGATTTTTCTTCCACTGATGTTCTGATCAGATTAGCAGACTTAAGTCTGAACACTCAAAGAAAAAGTGCATTTGTGAAGAAAAAAGCTAAACATACTTAATAGAACAGATGTTAGTGTGTCTTTGACTTGAGAGATCTTGTAAACATTTTATAAAATCCTCTTGTCTGAAACACTGACTGAAGAAATGAAAACAAAGTAAAATTCATTTCCATAGAGAAATAACACCTTTTCTTACACATCCGTAAAAAATGTCAGGCACAAATTGCAGCAGAGAAAGAGATCCTTTTGAAAACTCTGAAGGATTTGAGTGATGATGAGCTCGACAGATTTCAGTGGTTGCTGCAGGTCACGTACTTCCAGAAGAGCATATCCTTCCGTTATGGATATCCCAATTGGAAAGAAAGTGCTCTCCAGCTAGTGGATCAGATGGTGGAGACCTGTGGTCCGCAGTCTGTGGAGGTGACCAGGGAGGTTTTAATGGACCTGAACAGAACTGATCTAGCGGAGAGATTATCAGAGACTATCTTAAGAATCAAAGGTAAGAGAAAGAAAACTAAAACTGCTACATCACACAGAAGAGTTCATAGTCATGAGTTTTTGTATTTGTTGCAATGCTTTTGTATTTGTGTTTTAGTTGTTAAGGAAGGAGTCATTTCTATTTAAAGGTCATTTTGTGGGTGTAGTGTTCCTTTAATGGGTGTTAATATTATAATGTCAAACCTCTCACTCTTTGTGATTGATTTTAATGATCCCAG